CACTTCTGTTCCTGCCTCTGTGCTGACCCGTGGAGAGCGTGGGGCCCACCTGGTGCCCCAGTCCTTCCCCACCAGAAATTGGCTTCTAGGATTCCCTTTTCCTTGGTGGATTTCAGGCGGCAAAGGGAGGCTGGGTGTGGGTGGCTGCTGGGGAAGTGAGTGGTATGGGGCTTGGGGGGGGGTCCCATCTCATGCTCTGGGTGTCTCTGCCATGCCCACCCCCCACCATTAAGAAAGCAGTCCCTTGGCAAAGCTTGGGGGGATAATTTTTAATGACATTTTAGATGAGCTGGCATTAACTTGCACATAAAGGACTTGGTATTTGTGGCTGCTGACAATCACCCCAAATGCCTGGTCAGTCATGGAGGAGAGGCCTGTGCCAACGGCCCCAGCACCCTCCGCTCTCAGTTGGGCTTCTTTGCCATTGAGCTGATGAAGGTCAGGCCAGGGTGCTGGTGTGGGTTGGAGGAAGGAGAGCATTGTCTACTGCTTGGAGGGGTTTGGCAGCCCAGTGTGATGTCCAGCTGCCAACACACCTCAGTAAAGCCCTCAATGCTCTTGTGAAATTCTCCTTTGTAACATCATAAAATACAGGCTAGGTGATGCTACTGTTAGGCTCACGTTTGGCTTACAATTGCACCCCCATTAGTGGCTCCATTTCAGGGGGAAATGGAGGGGTGGAGTGCCATGGGCTCTGTCCTGGGCCCCGCACTGTTCAACACTTTTGCCATGACTTGGAGGAGGGAGTTGAGGGGACAGAAGCCGGGGAAGGTGGCTCATGCTCCAGAGGAGGCAGAGAAGACCCCATGAAGTCCAGGCAGGCTTGAGCAGAGGGCTGAAGTGAACAGGATGGAGTTTAGCAAGTTCTGCCTCTGGGTAGGAGACATGAGAGGCGTAAGTCTAGGATGTGGGGAGGCCCAGCTTGGCTCAGGTAGATGTGAGAGTCCTTGGGCATCCTTCTTGACCACAGGTTCAACTCGAGTCAGCAGTGGGAGGCCACTGCCGAAAAGGCCAGTGCTGTTTTGGGAGGTATTAACAGGTGCGTAGAGTCCAGACCACGTTCCCACCTTAGTCTAGTCCCTGTTTGAATACTGTGCTCAATTTGGGGCATGGCAGTTTAAAAAGAAGATCAATAAACCATAGAATATTCCAGCCATAGTGGACCACCAAGATGGTGAAGGGTCTGGAATCCATGTTCTACAAGGAATAGTTAAAGGCACTAGGTGGTTTAGCCTGGAGAAGAGAAAGCTGATCCTAAGAGATCTGAGGGGGAGTCATAGGGCAGGACCAGGACTGGTGGGTTGAATTTTCAGGGAAGTAGATTCAGGTAACGCGTGAAGACTGTGCAAGCTATTAGCCAACAGAACAGGCTGCCATATACTGGGGCCTTCAACAGAGGCTAGATGGCCATCTGTCCAAAATGTTTTAGCAGATTCTGCATCAAGGTCCTTGCAGCTCTGTGACTCTTTCCGTGCAGAGGTTCAGAAAAATATGGGAGTGTCTTTCTCACTAATGTTGCAAGGGAAACGGAAGATGGGCAGAGGAGGTACATCCCCCTGCCTTTCTTGGGGACAGGTAGTGGCCCTGGGAGAGGATGGTGGCGCCCGGCTGGCAGAAGACAGAGCTGACCCCTGCCCTCCTTGCCTGCAGGACCTGACCTCTGCCCTGACCCGGAAAATCACCTTGAAGACGCCCCTCATCTCCTCCCCTATGGACACCGTCACAGAGTCAGATATGGCCATTGCCATGGCGGTGAGTCTCTTCCAGGGCCAGTGGGGCACCTCTGCTGTCCGCAGGTGGACCCGTAGCCGCCTCTGTGGGCCTGAGGCTGCACAGGGGACGACCTCCTCCCATGCACCCCTTTCTCACTCGGGGGTGCCGGAGCAGGGGGCTGGGAGACCAGAGGCCTGGGCAGCCCCTCTGGCCCTGCGACTTCAGGGGTCCTGCCTCTTTCCCCCTGCAGCTGATGGGCGGGATCGGGATCATCCACCACAACTGCACCCCGGAGTTCCAGGCCAACGAGGTCCGCAAAGTCAAAGTGAGTGGCAGCGGCTGGTCCCTGGAGCTGCGGGTCACCTGGCCGGGCTGGGCTGGGCTGGGCTGCAGGAGCGCTGCCCAGGGGCGCTGGCGGAAGGGCCGCGCTGGGGGTTCTCTGAGGCTGGCCTTGCATTCGGAGCTCAGAGGCCCTCCCGGACGTGTCTGCAAGCTCTCTGCCAGCGTGCAACGGAAGGGAGTGGGACATGCCGCGTGGGGCATGTGCAGCTCCTGAAGAAGCGAGAAAGGGAAGTTTTACAGAAAAGGCCTCTCCTCTCCCTTGGGCCACAGAAGTTTGAGCAAGGCTTCATTACTGACCCGGTGGTCCTGAGCCCCACCCACACCGTGGGGGACGTCTTTGAGGCCAAGATCCGGCACGGCTTCTCGGGCATCCCCATCACGGAGACGGGCAAGATGGAGAGCAAGCTGGTGGGGATTGTGACTTCCAGGGACATTGACTTCCTCTCCGAGAAGGACTACCGCACCCCCCTCAGTGAGGTAGGGGTGCAGAAAAGCCTGGACGCGGTGGCCCCACCTTCCCTCCCACCTGCAAGGGTTCCTGGGGTTCAGAGGTGGAGGCCCCTTATGAAGGCCGGTCTCTCCTCCAGGGCAAGTGCCCCATCCTGCCCCATCCCCAGACACGCACACCAGCGCTGGTGGCCTGGTTCGCTCCACACGGGCCCAGCTGAGCCACCACCTCCCCTCCCCTTCTCCCAGGTCATGACCAATCGCAATGACCTCGTGGTGGCCCCGGCGGGCGTCACCTTGAAGGAGGCCAATGAGATCCTGCAGCGGAGCAAGAAAGGTACAAGGGGAGCAGAGGGAAAGCCCCGCCCCGGGGCTCGGCATTGGAGGCATTCCTGTCTCCCGCCTTGGGGGGTTCCCTCCCCGTGGGGAGGGAGGGAGGGGAGACCCTCTGCAGGGGCTCCCTCCAGGCCACGGCCCAACCTGCACGACCTGGCCCAGCCCTCCTTGCCCTGCAGGCAAGCTGCCCATCGTGAATGACACAGATGAGCTGGTGGCCATCATCGCCCGCACTGACCTGAAGAAGAACAGGGACTACCCTCTGGCCTCCAAGGACTCGCGCAAGCAGCTGCTGTGTGGGGCGGCCATTGGCACCAGAGAGGATGACAAGTACCGGCTGGACTTGCTGGTGCAGGCCGGCGTGGACGTGGTGGTGCTGGTGGGTGACCCTCCCTCCGTGGCAAGCTGGTGCGGGGAAGGGACCTCCAGAGCTCTGAGAGGGAACCGCAGCGGGTTCCTGTTGGTCCCCCTGGGCGTCTCTGCCGGAAAGGAGCCGTTGTGTATCAGGGCGACCCAGATGGCGGGCTCTGAATGGTACCCATCTCCTGTGCTGCTCCTCGGCACCCGAAAATTGTGCCCCCAAAACAGAGAAGCCAAACGGCCTTTCAGAAGCTAATCTGACACCTCTGGGAGCAGAGCACTCCCATTTTCATACTGAATCCCCCCCACAAGCAGTCCCTGAAAGGCCTCCCACTCTTTCCCACCACTAAGCCCCCCCCCCGCCCCTGCCCCCAGCTGCAAAATTAGCCCTGAGAGCTGTCAGGAAGCCCCTGGGAGTGGAGCCTGCGCTGTACCCCCCCTTCCATGTTCAAGTCTGGGGCAGGTGAGTGAAGGAGATTGAAGCGCTTCCCCACAGCCTGCTTCCCCCCCAGCTGCTTCCTGAATTTTGTTTTAAGTGGTGAGGCTCACAGAGCTTTGCAGCTGGAATCCTGGCAGGTTTCTTTGAAAGGGTGGAAGGAAAATTCACATCACGGTCCTCTCAAAGCCATGCTTGGCATGGCCTGCTGCCCCCTTGGTGTTGCACCAAAGGGGCTCGTGGCTGCCTGCCTTCTGCCACTTAGTGTCTGTCCTTTGGGGCTACGTGTGGACGTGCAACAGGGCTTGCATTGCGCTCCATGGGGGTACCTGTGGGGCTGTTCTAGGTGCCTGATGGTCCTTTCTTTTTCCTCCTCCCCCGCAACCCACCCAAGGATTCATCTCAGGGAAACTCCGTCTATCAGATCAATATGGTTCACTACATCAGGCACAAGTGTCCAGAGCTGCAGGTCATTGGGGGCAATGGTGAGTACCTGGGGGCACTGCCAGGGTGTTTCCTCTTGCAGAGCTTCTTTGCTTCGAGTTTGCTTCCCCAGCTGAGTGGGTCCTGCAGGGTCCAGTTGCAGCCCCTGCCCCCCGTTATTCCAACTGACCAGCATGGCCGCTGTCACCATGACAGGAAAGAAATACCATGTAGATGACAGGCAGAACCCAGTGAGTGATTGGAAGTTCCTCTTGTCTGTGCGTTCGTGCACATTGCAGCTGAGTTGCCAAGGCTGGGAAGCTGGGAGATTTCTGGCACCTGCAAATACGTGCAGGATTGCAAGTGACGTTTTGAAAAATACTACCTTATATACTTGCAGATAAGCCGAGAATTTTAGGTGCCAAAATGCACCCCAGAAATTGGGTTTGGCTTATCCACCAATGGGCTTATCCGTGAGCATATACAGTAGTACTTTTTAAAGTACCTGTTGGCAGATAAGCCGGCCCTTGAATTTTTCATCAGAATACCATGAAAAAATGTGGGTTGTCTTATCCGTGGGTGGCACATTTTTCGTGGTATTTTGGTTAAAAATTATCCATGGATGGGCTTATATGTGAGTATATATGATAATACCATTGCACAGCTAAAGTTTTTTTCCTGAATCACCATTTATTTAGAAAATACCCCTTGAGAATTCTCACACACTCAGAGGAAGACAACTTGGTATCAGATTTCTGTCTGTTGCTAAAAAACGGAGGGATGGGACCCAGAGCGGCCTCTTGCTCTGTTGTCTTGGAGGCCATTGTGTAGCTTCGGTGGGAGGAGGACATGCAGAAGTACACACTTGATTTCAGTATAAATAGGACTCGCTTTTGACACATAGCTGTTGCTGGAATTCTTTCACAATAGCTTCTTGGCCTTCTGCAGTAAATTACTTCACAGAAGTTCCCGGATTCTTCTGTGCCTGTCGCAGCCGGGAAGGCCACCTGGATCTACAGTTTCTGGCTTTGTTCTTCCAGAGAGAGTCAGGCTGGCTATGAAGGGGGTGGGGGCGGGGGTGGAGGGGAATCCGTCATCATACCAGAATAGTGCATTAATGTGGATATAAACAAAATGGAGAATGTGTTTTGTTTCAGACCAGAAGAAAGGCATTGCCTTCCAGAACTTCTTGGAAATTGTTTGGAGTTGGCTGTGGTTCAGCAGAAACAAAATATGGAACATTTTGGTTGATTGGGCTTTTGGCTGAAACAAAATCCAGAGGAATCCTGGAGTGATTTTTCAGGCCAAGCAGGGCAAGGCCGGTGTGCATCTCCCCTTCCCTGAACAGCTCTCAGCCAACCCACCTTTTATCTTCCAGGGCCTCCCATCCCCAGCTGCCCCCAACATACTGGCCGTGTGCCAGTTCCTTACTGCAGCAACTCTGCAGCGAGGAGCAGGTCCCTGTGACACGTATCTCCCCAGTCTTCTTATTTTCCTTCCTTCGGCCACTGTGGTTGATGTCCTTAGCTTTTCCTGTTCTCTCTCACTACCCTGAACCGTTTGTGGGGTGGGACAGTCTTGTTTCAGTCAGTTCCCAGAACTAGGCATTCCTGCTCGCTTTAGACCAGAACCTCTAAACGCTCGTTTCTGTGTGGGCGAGGTTTGCCTGAAAACAGCTCTTAGGTGCATGGACTGTTTTGAAAGTTTCTGAGTCAACATAGGTCATGGAGGGTCTGGTGCTCTCTAAGGCCTTGGCCTTGTGGACTGGAGCAGGTGGAAGTTTGAGTCTCCTCCTGCAGACGCTGCTAAGTTGGGGAAGGGGCTGCATTAGTCCATGACCCTTTTACGGAGACCTTGGCTCCCAAATTCTGCTTCGGCACCCCCTCCCCTTTTTTCTGCATTAGGGCCCATTGCTGAGGCAGCGCTGCTCCAGGTCAAAATACCCCCATCTTTGCACGTTGGCCATCCTGTCCTGTCAGTGGGGCAGGGGTCTTCTGCTGTTGGGGCCCAGAAGGCATCGGATGCCCTTGGGGTGGAGTCCCTTGCTGCTCAGGGGTCTTACGGGTGCCTCTGCTTTCTCCCCTATTGGATGCGCAGTAGTGACAGCGGCCCAGGCCAAGAACCTCATCGATGCTGGTGTGGACGCGTTGCGTGTGGGCATGGGGTGTGGTTCTATCTGCATCACACAGGAAGGTGAGTCCTGGGGTGGAGCCCCCAAGCACGGGCACTCCCTGCCTCGGAGGAAGCGGGCCCTGAGTTCTGTGCATGCCTTGGGGCCCTGGAGGTGAACTCTCTGGGCTCGGTGCTTCTCGCAGCCCACGAAACAGCCCACGACCCTTTTCAAGCTAACGGCTGCCCCCAAGTGGACAGTGGCCCTGGCGATACCTTGAGGTTGGCCTTTGGCCGGCCAGCAAGTAAAAGGGGCTGGGCCCTCCCAAAGGTCCCCCTGCAAAGGCTGGATCGCCCCCTGCCTTGGTCAGTGGGGTCGGGTGTGGTGGTGGTAACCGCTTAAAAAGCGAATTCTCGCCGTGGCTGCTGGAGCCTGTGGGCAGAGCGCGGAGGAGCACCCGCTGCAGAACTGAGGGAGCTCTGAAGGCTGACGCTCCGTGCCGGAGACCGCAACGCGCTCACCCTTTTTTCCTCCTTGGGTCTCCGATCAGAGCCGCCTTCGCCTCCCTGGCTGCACCCCGTGGCTCTCCTGAGCTGCCAGGGCGGCCGAGGGCTGGGCCGGACCCACGGTGGCCCCTTCCTGCCTATGACTCTCCCTCCCTCAGTGATGGCGTGTGGCCGGCCTCAGGGCACAGCCGTGTACAGAGTGGCAGGGTCCGCCCGCTGGTTTGGGGTGCCCGTGATCGCGGATGGTGGGATCCAGACGGTGGGCCACGTGGTCAAGGCGCTCTCTTTGGGGGCCTCCACAGGTGAGGGGGCCTTGCCTTGGGGAGGGGGGTCTTTGATACTGCGGGCGGGAAGGCCCGAGCCACCTTGCTCTGTGGCCTGAAGATCAGTGGCAAATGAACTGCAGCCGTGTTTTCGTTTTGTGGTCTGCAAACGGGCATCGCGTACATACAGGCCGCCATAAAGCGTTCCTGTTTTGAAAGAACTCGCTGAATTTTAGCTGCTTAAACGACGATCTGGACTGAGGAGAAGGGCCCTGTTACTCCTTCAGCTGTAGCTCAGCCCGTGAGGCCTCCCAGCCCGGCGCCCCCGCGGCAGCTCCGGGCGGCTGGCAGCGTTCCCCCGCAGCTGCTTCCCAGCGTCCCTTGAGGCGGCCTTGGCAGAGCCTGGCCGAGTCTGGCCTGCGGTCCCCAGGAAGCTCTGCCCAAGCGGTGACTTGCCCGGCGCAGCTCCCCCGGGGACGAGGGCCCCCTTTGCTGGTGCCTCCAGCCCTACTCCGGCCCTCTCTCTTTCCAGTCATGATGGGCTCCCTGTTGGCTGCCACCACGGAGGCGCCCGGCGAATATTTCTTCTCCGATGGCGTGCGGCTGAAGAAGTACCGGGGGATGGGCTCTCTGGACGCCATGGAGAAGAACTGCAGCAGCCAGAAGCGCTACTTCAGGTGTGGGAGGCGGGAAAGGGCTCTCCCGTGGAGAAAGCAGCGGTGGGCATGGGCCGAGGGGGAGAGGGAGGGCTGCCACAGAAGAGCCCCTGGGAAGCGGGAGAGGCCTCCCTCGGGTCCCGCGAAGTGCCTGCCGGGGCCTGGTGGCTCTGACTCGGGCAGGGAGGGCCGCTGGCTTGCGGGGAGCGGGCGAGTTCGCGCTGCCGTGGTAGAGCCCGCTGCTGCAGGACTCCTTGCTCAGCCCGGCTGCCTCGGGGCGGGCTAGGAAGGCTGCCGGCTCCAGCGCCCTCCTGCCTTGCCTTGCAGCGAGGGGGACAAAGTGAAGGTGGCGCAGGGCGTCTCCGGCTCCATCCAGGACAAGGGCTCCATCCAGAAGTTTGTGCCGTACCTGATTGCTGGTATCCAGCATGGCTGCCAGGATATTGGCGCCAAAAGCCTCTCCGTTCTGCGGTGAGTAGACTTGCCTCACCGTGCCAGGCTGCGGGTGGGAGGCTCCCCGCTGGGCCCCCGACGGCCCGCCTAGCCAAGGCGGCGTGCTTTGGGCTGCCAGGTTGGCGCGGCAGCTCCCGGAGGAGGCGTAACGGAGTGAGCGTGGTCAGCGTGGCGCCCGGGGAGGCAGAGCGGGAGCCTCCCTAGAGCAGGGGCAGGCTGGGCCCTGTCCTGGTGGCAGGGCCTGGCCCAGCAGAGCTCCCCGGTGGAAGTGCGAGGGAATGGGACGGCTTGAAATCAGGGCAGCATCTTTCAAAGCAAGAGCTATTCCAACGGTGCACCTCTCCGTGAAATAGCCTTGGCCTGAGAAGGTTGTGCGAAGAGGCACCTCCAAGGGAACGGCCAAGCCGGGGTCTCCCGCAGAAAGATCCCTCTTCCTGCTCCCCGAAGGTCTCTTCCTCTCTTGCCCCCCAGCTGCGAGAACCTACCCCCCTTCTGCACCATGTCGCTGGAAGGACGGCTGCGCTGCCGAAGGAGGAGCGTCACAGGCCTCGTCTGCCCCTTCCACTTCGCTGCCCCCAAAAGCCCTCGGCTCAGGCCCTCGGCCGGGGCTGCTCTCAGATCAGGCCTTCGACTCTCCTCTGTCTCTCTCTTCAAGGTGGCCCTCCTTAGCGTAGTGGCTGGAGAGGTCGAGCCTGGGTGTTCTCTGCTTCTACGACATGCAGGTAGACTGCCTTTGAGCAAGGGTGCTTGGTCCTTCCAAGCACCCGAGTTTATTTTCGTTGTTCGCTGATGAGGCCGCTGAATCCCTTCAGTCCTGGCTGACCCTAAGCTGCGTATAGAGAAATCGATGGGTAACGCAGTGACAAAGGTGAACAAGGAACACGGGTGCCAGCATAGCAGCACCCTCAGCAGGCGCTCCCTCCTGGTGGGCATTCTGGGCGACTTCACTTCTCCCAGGCCAGCTCCAGAGCCTGCGCCACGGTGGGCTCTACAGGGGACGCCCGGTGCCCAGTGCGTGCTTGGAGAGGAGTCAGCAGGCAGGGCAGCTCCGGGAAGGAGACTCAGTACGACCTCAGCAGGCCCGGCCCAGGGCGGCCAGGACCAGCAGCTGCAACTGCTCCCTCAGAAAGGAGCCCCCCCCTACCCTCGGGGTGACCCTGAAGGCTACCGCGGTCAACCGTATCAGAGGCCATGGAGAGGTCTGGTGGGTCGGCCGTGCTCATCTGTGAGAGCGAGGGGCCCAGGTTGGTGTGGCTCAGCCTCGGCAGCTTTAAGATGTGTGGACTTCGACTCCCAGAATTCCCCAGCTGAGGTTGTCGAGGTTGAGCAATGCCAATCTAGAGAATTTGTTTTCCACCGAGTCCTCTGCAGCTGCGGTTGCACCGCCTTCGTCAAAAATGGGAGGTTGAAGATAGGTCATCCGAACAGCTGGGTCTGCTTGTCCCCTTCTAGCCACCTGGACCGCCAGGTGGGGCGGCGGGCAAGCCCACAGATCGCAGGCCTGGCGTGAGAAAGGACCAGCCGCCACCTCGCGACCTGCAGGCTCAAAAGCCACGTGGCAAACCTCGGAGGACGTTATCTTGTCGGGTGCTTGGATGCCGACCGTCTGGCTTTTAACAAACCAGAGCAGTTTATCCACAAAATCCTCAGGCGGGTCAGAGCAGCCGCTTGACAGCGTAACATCTCATCATTTCCTTGCCTTCCTCCTCGGAGCATTTGCGCACTACGCTTCAGTTGTGTTCTGGCTTCACACAACACTCCGAACTGCGCATTAATCATGGAGGCCGGGCTTGTGTGACACAGCGAGCCTCTCCCAAACTAGTCTAAAGGTTTAGAATAATGTGCGAACGCGTTTGCCAACGCTTCCCCTGGCCAGGCGACGCGTGATGCGTGAATGCGGATGCTGGGCTTGGATTCTTCAAGTGTCCCCGCTGCCATCTGCGGGTTCGCTGCCATCTGCGGGTTCTCTTGGAGGATGTGCGAAGGAGGGGGCGAGGGTCCAGAGCTCCTGGTGGGCAGAGGCCCCTAAAGCCCTCCTCCTCTTCTCTTGCCAGCTCCATGATGTATTCAGGGGAACTAAAGTTTGAGAAGAGGACGATGTCAGCCCAGATTGAGGGGGGAGTCCACGGTCTCCACTCGTAAGTATCTCGTGCTTACTTGCAGCCGCTGCCCTGAAGCCCCCTCCCCTGAAGCCCCCTCCCCTCCTCCTTGCTTCCAGGGTGCTGTTCCAAGCCGAGCAGGTCCAGAGTGAGGGAGAAAAGACTGTTGCCCACTTTGGGGGGCAGGGAGCTGGCCCTGCTGAGCAATGCCCTCCTCCCCTTCTCTGCTGGCATTCCCCATGGCATTCAGTCCAGCGAGGGGGCATCCCTTGCTGCTTCTGCACAGGACTCCTTCTGACCTCCTTGTGGCTCCAGTGCTCGGGTGGTGGGGGGAGAGTCTGCCAAGCTCCTCTTCTCTCTGTGCAAACTAGGGACTCGTAGTTTTGAAGCAGATCCTCAGGACCACAGCTGAGAGTTATGGAGGGGAGGGGGGTGCAAAGCAAAGGTGTCTTGTTCTGAACCCAAAACAAATGGATTGTGGCTTGGAAGATTGGCAAAGCCATTCTGGGTGGGCTACAGTTCTTCTGAACAGAACCCACAAACTTCTTGATAGTTCTGGATGTGGGCCTTCAGGGGTGAGTAGGGCAAGGCTTGCTCCTGGCCCCCCGTCTCCTCTTCTCTCCCTCCCATTAGGTGCAACGGGCAGCCTGTCCAGCTGGTCCCCCTGCCCTGCCCTGCCCTGCCCTGCCCTGCCCTGCCCTGCCCTGCCCTGCCCTGCCCTGC